ACGATATGGTGCCATCGCAGGTGGTTTGGCACCCGGTTCCAACTCGATCTTGTGATCCACCTCCCTCCTAGGTGGTAGTTTCTCCGGTAGCTTTGCCGGCATCACGTCCTTGTTCTCCTCAAGGACAGCTTCGATAATAGGTGGTACGCCCGTCGGCCCTTCCGTCTTGTCGTCCACCTTAAGTACGGCTAAGAATGTCGGTTCTCCCTTCTTCACCCCCTTGGCTACTTGCATCGCTGACAAAGTCTTAGCCCCGCCACTTGTCCGCTCATTGGGAGTCTCCAATGTCGGCACCATGCACGGTGAACCCTTCTCAAGGATACAAACCGTGTTAAAAGATGGCATAGGAATAGCGGTTACCTGCCTTAGGAAGTCCATCCCTAGAACAACCTTGTAGTCGTCCATCGGTGCCACCGTAAAGTCCACTTGGCCCTTCCAAGTGCCTAGACGTAGGTCCACTCCTCGTGCTACGCCGTTCAGGGGTTGCGCCTTTGCATTCACTGTCTTCAGCCAACACATGCCCTTTGTCCATTGAAGACCAACCCTCTTGGCCTCCTCTTCATTCACGAAGTTGTGCGTCGCGCCCGTGTCCACCAACGCCCTTGTTGGTTTCCCGTTAATGTATGCCTCGACGTACATGAGCCTATTGCTTGTCGTCTTCAGCAGCGGCTTCGCCTTGAGAGCATTGAGGATTTGTAGTGATCCAATGCTCGTCTCCTCCTCCCGGGCCTCCGCCTCTTGTCTTTCCACCATGGCAGACAACGAACCTAGCTTAGGGCAGTCCTTCATTGTGTGTGGTCCCTTGCACACGAAGCACCCTCCCTTCGGTACAAAAGACTTCTTCTTTGCCACATATTCTTCATGTCCCAAGCTCTTGTCCCCCCTCTTGAAGGACGGTTTCCGTGAGTTCTCCCTGCCCACGTTGTCATGCCGCTCTCCCCCACCTTTGACGGGGTTCTTATCTTTTCTCTTGGATGCCTCCCCATAGCTATGGTGTTGGAAGTCCGTCAAGGATTCCGCGGCGGCAATGGCTTCGTCCACAGTTTGGACACTCCGCCTTTGCACCTCTTGTTTATCCCAACTTTGTAACCCATCAACGAAGTAGAAAAGTAGATCCTCTTGGGACAAGTTGGGGATTTGGAGCATAAGGGTTGTAAATTCTCTTACATAGTCACGAATCGTACCTCTTTGCTTTAACTCCCTTAGCTTCTTGCGGGCCTCAAAGACGACGTTCTCCGGGTAGAAATGTCTCTTCAACTCTCTCTTGAAGTCTTCCCACGTGTCAACCCGTGCAACGCCCCGCTCTATATCCGCATGCCTCCTTCGCCACCATAGCATTGCCGTATCCACCAAATAAGATGTGGCCGTCTTGATTTTCGCCGTCTCGTCCTCAAGGTTAAGGTTGTCGAAATATTGTTCCATTTGCCACAAGTAGTTCTCGACTTCTTTGGCATCTCGGACCCCATGGAATTTTGACGGCTTCGGATAGTCAACCTTCGGCGTGTTGGTGAGGTTTATGGTTGCTCCACCACTAGCCGCAGCCTTCTTGCACAAGGCCACCTCTTCACGCATGTTCTCAAGACTAGCATGTAAAGATTGAATAGCATCCATTACCTTCTCCTCTAGTTGGACAAATCGGGCATCGAGGTCTTCAACATCATCCTTCACATGGCCAAGTTGCTCGAACATGTGTTCCTCAAGCAAGGTTGCGCCATTCTCGACCCTCTCGAGTTTTGCGCCCAGCCCTTCAACAGCTTCCTCCAAAGCAAGAATCTCCCCTCGAGCTTTGCTTTGATCACGCTTACTCTTCTTAGGGTTGGGATTTGGATCCCTCCCACGTTCCTCGGTGATAAAGGACACATTTGTATCAACGTTTCCAGCCATATTCCCAAATATGCACAACACGTACCTGAATGCGGCTCTGATACCAACTGTCACAGACTTGTTCCCTTAACAAGCTCACGTGCGGCCTTAGCTCCTTTTCGCCCCTCGCGATAGCTAAGTCAGCCTCAACTGATGCCTTAGTGTGGTGTGTGTGCTAAGTGCTTGGCTAGGAAAGTGATAAAGGCAAGTGATCTCTTGAAGAAAGCTTAACACTTTATTGAATGCTTGGAAACTTCGATGATTACAAATGAACCACCTTGAGGGGTATTTATACTTGCCTCCTCCTCAATGGATGGTCAAGATCTATTTGATCTAACGGCTACAATCCATCTCTAGAATATTCTATACAAATCTATGGTATTCTAGAGTATTCTATACAAGTGTATACCGATCTACATGAGTCTAGAGTATTCTATGAACCTCCGGAATCCTGCCCCTTTCTCCTTGGTATCTTTAGACTTCAGCTGTGGGCTTGGTCACGAGTTATGCCGCGGCGCAATTATCTGCCATGCCGCGGTGTAAATACTGCAGATGGGAAACTCGTGACATAGCGCTAATTTACATTCATTTGACCGATCAAGTTACTGATTAGTATCGAGCAGCGTATCACACCTACATTCATATTATTGAAAACAGCGTTGATTAATTCTTTTGGAAAATCACTCACCTAAGAACATAATCTTTGCTATGCAATCACAGCAAGGACATTAGTGGAACTACAAACCTATTTGGATATATTGATTTGTCATAACGTAACTAAACATTCTCTACCACTTCTCAGAATATATAAGACAATTAACAAGGACGCGGCGGATGATCGCATTGTTGATATCCATGCTGATCACCAACTCATCCCTGTGTGGGGCCGGCGACATTGGTAGGTCGGCTGGTCCAAAGGTGATGGCTTCCACTTTGTTCCTTTTAGTGGGGGGAGCTGATATGAAGCCCACATAGAGCCGTCAAAACGGGCCGAAACCCGCGGGTTGGCCCGTTTCAACCCACTTATAAGTGGGTTAGGGCTATCATTTTCAGGCCCGATTGTTTTGCGGGCTCAGTGGGTCAACCCTAATGGGTTGCGGGTTTAACGGGCCAACCCGTACGGGTTGCGGGCCAACCCGCGGGCTGAGGACAAATATCATTTATTCTATGTATTTTTAATTCTATTATGAGAAAATAACTTTAAATAATACCAACTATCTTTGATGAACCAATAATAATACGTACTTTAGAAATAACTTTTAATAATACCAACTATCTGGATGATCACTTATTTGATATTTTGATATTAGTTTTTGATGAATTGAATAAATAAATTTTTGGTGAAAATTTGCTATATACCACTTTTGATAGATAATCAAATAGTTGGTATTATTAAAAATTATTTCTCAAGTTGGTATTATTCTTGGTTCATGGAAGATAATTGGTATTATTTAAAGTTATTTTCCCTTCTATTATTTCTATATAGGACAATTATATCTTCTATTATACTCTCTTTACTTCTAGTTCTTTCCTCACTTTTAATACTAATGTATTTTGTTCATGATATCCAAATCAGACTAAATAATTTATTTTTAGTGTATTCGTTGTTATACTGTTTTATAACATAAGGACTTCTATGCTGTTTTATTCATGATATCCAAATCAGACTAAATAAATGAGAAATTAGGTATTTGCGGTATTTCAGCTAAGTATACCCACGATAATACATTAAAGATTTTAAGTATTTCAAATCATTTAACTTTTTAAGTATACCAGTTATACCCACGATGATACATTCAAACATACAACAAAGGATTTTCAAGCACTAATTTTTTCCTTTTTAATTGTGTTTGGATTTTAATTTAGATATTTAATTGCTATTTCAATTGTGTTTGGATTTTAATTTAGATATTTAATTGTTTTTTTGTTTTGACATTTATGGCCCGCGGGCTGGCCCGCATAACCCGTGGGTTAGGTGGGTCGGGTTAGGGTCATAAAAATTCTGGCCCGATAGTAAGCAGGTTGGCCCGCCCCGACCCGTGAAACTCATAACCCGCCGCGGGTCGGGGCGGGTCGGGGCAGGTTGGCCCGTTTGACAGCTCTAAGCCCACATAGAGGGACCTCTCAAACTTCTTCCGCTCAGCAGGTGTGTCCCCAGTCTCAGCACCCCCGAAGATCACCTTGATCTCCAACTTCTTCTTCCTGCCGTTCGGGCCGAGGGACCCCTCCGGACGTTTATAAGCACTTCGATAGTCTACGTCCTTTGGTTCAGCCTCGCGCCGATCGTCGCGGCGCCATGATCGTGACCTCAGATTCGGCTGTCTCGGGCTATTCTTCTTTAGTAGCTGGGTGAACTCGCCCAGATAGCCTTGTCGGATCAGTTCGTCGATGGCCATCCTCAGCTGCTTGCAGTTGTCGGTAAGGTGGCCGACCCTCTGGTGGTATTCGCAGTACGCGGTCTCATCAAGACCCATCAGTGCCTTCTTGTCCTGGGGCTCCCTTAGGAGGCCCTTGTCTTTGATGGCGTCAAAGATCTGGCCCACGGGGTAAGCCAAGGGGACATGATAATCCCCTGGACGCACGGTGCTTGCCTCAGGGTGGGCCTTCCACAGAATCATGCCGCCGTCCGTCTTTTTCTTCTTGTTCGGGAAGGATGGTCCGCCTCCGGGGCCGAGCCTATCCGCCAGTCTCCGGGAAGGGGCTGCCGGCGCGCCGTCCCTCTGTCTGATCTCCTCCTCAATGGAGGCATACTTTTGTGCCCGAGCCAGAACCTCGGTATAGCTGGTGCTGGGGTTCCTCCGGAGGTCCCGGTATAAGTCCCCCGTTGCCAAAGCGCTGGTGAAGATGTTCACCCCCAGCCGCTCGTCCAGGTCATCCACCTGAAGCACTTCGTCTCTCCATCTGACCAGGAATTTGGCCAGAGGTTCGTCCTTCCCCTATTTCACACTGGTGAGCGATGTGAAGCTCTTCTTGGGGGTGGTGCTGGCAGCGAACTGTGCCATGAACTGCTGGGACAGCTATTCGTAGTTGTCAATAGATCCGGTGTCACGCCCCGGACCTATCCGGACACGTCAACAACCCGCCGTACAATACGAATAGTCAACCGCAGTCCAACACATTCATATTATACAAGGCGTCTTGAATATCATTCACACATATACATCCATAAACAAACATAATAAGTAATTCATAACGCAGCGGAAACATTGTTTAAAACAAAAGGCCACACAAGGCATTTCATGAGCACACAGGCTCCATAGTAAAATATCCATGAGCACGTTTAGGAAGGTTTAAAAACAGAATGGAGGAAGCACGAACCAAGTCTTCCCTCCTATATGATCTCTCGAGCAACGAGCACAGGAAGCAAGCTCTAGCCTCAACCTGAAAAATGGTGGTGGGACGCCCCCGAAGGGGTCAGTACTCTATACGGCTATAAAGTACTGGTGTGGCAGGCATCTAATAGATATACAACAAGTATTTCAAACACAAGACCCTCAAATAGGGTGATAGTACATTATGATTTGTAACCCTAGTTACCCCGTTTAAAAATATACTTACTTAATATAAAAGTCAAGTAGTCGGTCCGTGGGCCCATGTTTATTTGGAAATCACCATTCCCAACCCCGTGACTATAAGCCACGACAACTCCTAGAGTCCAACCCTAGTACATGACATTGTATTCTAGAGCTCGGCTCTACCACATCACCATACAATTCATATACCTCGGGTCAATCTCCCTACCTTGCGTTCTAGAGCTCGGCTCTATCACATCACCACGCAAGTCCTAGAGCTCGGCTCTAGCTATACAATACATAGACTCCAAGTCTACACCTTACATGCATTCTAGAGCTCGGCTCTATCACATCACCATGCATTAAGGTCCAATTCTCAAGCAACCCTATGCCTAGAATTGACATATCATTAAACTACCATGGGTCATCCTTAAAGACTCCCCATAACTTAACCTTAGTTCCATACTAAGTTATCATATACACTTGAACTACATTCAAGTACCTTTCATACAATCCAATCCCTAGGATCAATTTAATCAACAAGTTCCAATAATCACTAACTAGTATTCCAATACTATTAAGATTATTGTTATCGTACCATTATCCTCATTGTTTGTAATTCTCTACATATTTATAATTATGTAGCAGCAACTTAAGTATTCAATCTCAATACACAAATATTCATTTATGTATCCACATAATTCATACATGAGCAAAATGCCCATTTTCACAAAATAGTTCATTTATACTCATTTAATCTCATATTATTCATACTTTCTCAAATCATTCCAAATTCATTCTTTGGCAACTATATCAATATTTCATCAATATATAGTCATCATAATCCATGAAAAATCATGATTTAAGCATTTAGGTAATCTCATGCTTAACCTACAAGTTGTAAGCAATTAGATGTCAATCCTCACCTCAATTGAGCTTTAAACTTTCCCTTCTTGGTTCAATGGTCAAAGCTTCGGTCAAGGTGGATTTGGAACTGATTCCTTGCTCAAATATGAGTGTTAAACAGCCTCTTCAAGGTGCTAGCTCAACCTCTAAACGTTGGTACGAAAACAGCCCCTAGAATGGGTGTTTTCCGGCTAACTCGTTTCCTAGTTTTCCAAGATTTGTTCTAGGTTAGTATCTAACCTTTACATCAATAAAATAACTTAATAGGGACATATTATACACTTGGAGTAGTGTATAATAGTTCCACCAATCGTTCATATCATTTGGAAAATGAATGGAAAAGTTTTGAGATTAACAACTCACTTAGATGAGTAAATCTGTCCCTGCGAGGTCGCGTTCTGCTCGGACGATTTGGAAGCCTTCCTCTACTCCGATTGATGCAAACCAGACCTTCACGGATTCCTCGTCTTGAGAGCTTTCTTTTGGTATCTCACACGCCTTGATTGGATTGGTAAAACTCGAGATATCAACCAAACAGTCTCAGCACTCTCACAGCTCGAGTTCACAGACCACTGCTCGTTCCAGATCGATTTTTGGATGATTACTCTCTCTACTCGAACAAAGGCCACTCGATTGAGATACTAGACTTCACAGGCTATCCAAGGACACCTCACTCACCTTATTTGGTCAAGTATAACATCACACATGGAGGGAGACAACCAGCACCATCTTTTTGTGCGAAAATGGACTAGGTGGCCCCTCTTGGATGTCCTTCATGTCTTGTGCAGCTCCCCTTCATTTTTATCCGTCCATCCCTACTCCTAACACTTATTTTCTTTTGTCTTGCAGGTGTCAATGTGTATGGGACGCACCCCTATTGATCCCAATAGATTTGGGGTCCAAAATATCTATCAATACTTCCAAAAAATGAAAAGATGGACCCTATTGTTTTATCTTTGTCAAAAGATGTCTTTTTTTGTACTCATTCCAATTTATTTAGAGCAAGTCAACTTCCTAAATCACATTATTGATCTCCAATATGTGTAGGCTCATCCCAATAATTTACATGATGAAAATTACAAAAGAATGCGGGTTTGAACAATACAATATTCAATCACGTACTTCGTAAAATATTAATCGTTTCTTCCATTGCTTTGAAATCGGAAATTCAATACATCACTTTTGAATTTTTAAATCGAATTTTCAAGGACGTTCGGGTGCGGTGTCACAAGTTCACCCCCCCTTAACAGGAATTTCGTCCCCGAAATTCACAGCTCTACTCGAATAGGAAAGCATACTGCTTCCTCATCAAAGCCTCCGTTTCCCATGTCTCTTCCTCGACCCGATCGCTCTTCCACAGGACTTTAACCATTGGGACTTCTTTGCTCCTCAGCTTCTTCACCTTTCTATCGGTGACTTTGATAGGTTGAACAGCGTAGTTCAAATCCTCACGTACCTCTACAGGTGGCTTCTCCAATACGTGAGAGGGATCATGCACGTACTTCTTAAGCATGGATACATGAAACACATTATGTATCTTCTCTAACTCAGGAGTCAATTGTAGACGATATGCAACGGCCCCAATCCTCTCTATAATTCTGAATGGACCTATATATCGTGGGTTAAGTTTTCCTCGGGTTTGGAACCGAATGATCCCTTTCCAAGGAGAAACTTTCAAGAATACCTCGTCATCAACCTTAAACTCTAAGGTTCTTCGACGCTTATCTGCATAACTCTTTTGTCTATCCTGAGCCGCCTTGAGTCTCTCTCGAATCAACTTCACCTTTGATTTGGTGACCTCCACCAACTCAGTACCCTCGAGTTTGGCCATGCCAACCTCGTCCCAGCATAACGGTGTACGGCACCTCCTCCCATACAATGCCTCGTATGGAGGCATGCCGATGCTTGCCTGATAACTGTTGTTATAGGCAAACTCCACAAGTCCTAAGTGGTTGTCCCAACTCCCCTGGAACTCCAATGCACAAGCCCTCAGCATGTCTTCTAGGATCTGTATAACCCTTTCAGACTGCCCATCCGTCTGTGGATGGAAAGCAGTGCTGAACTTCAACTTCGTTCCCATAGACTCCTGGAATTTCGGCCAAAAACGTGATGTGAATCGTGGGTCTCTATCAGATACAATGGTCACCGGGACCCCATGCAGCCTCACGATCTCATCCGTATACAATTTGGCTAACCTCTCAAGTGGGTAGGTAGTGTTGATAGGCAAGAAGTGTGCACTCTTTGTGAGCCTATCCACAACGACCCAAACCGCGTCATAGTTCCTGATAGTCCGTGGTAAGCCTACCACGAAATCCATAGTCACGTGCTCCCACTTCCATTCAGGGATGGAGAGTGGTTGCAATAAGCCTGCTGGGTGCTGATGTTCTGCCTTAACTTGTTGACAAGTAAGGCACCGACTGATGTACTCGGCTATTTCCCTCTTCATTCCAGACCACCAGTAACTTTCCTTCAAATCACGGTACATTTTCGTGCCCCCCGGGTGCATGGCATAAGCCGATGAATGAGCCTCCTCTAAGATGGACTTTCGGAGCTCATCATCTGACGGTACACACACTCGGTCACGAAATAACAAGAGACCATCATCTCTTTCCCTGAAATCCTCCACCGGGCCCGCTTGCATGCGTTCCCGGACCTTCATAAGTTCTTCGTCGGCTTCCTGACCCTTCTTGATCTCATCAAGTAAAGTGGGTCTCACCTCAAATCGTGCCAATAAGGCACCATCGCTGGTTACCTCCAGTTGGGCTCTTAATGCCCTCAAATTAGTTATCAATGCCCCAGACGAGCTCTTCCGGCTCAAAGCATCTGCCACCACGTTTGCCTTGCCTGGGTGATACTCTATCACCAGATGGTAGTCTTTTATCAACTCCATCCACCGTCTCTGTCTCATGTTTAGCTCTTTCTGAGTAAACACATATTTCAAGCTCTTGTGATCAGTGTATATGTGACATGTCTCCCCGTAGAGATAATGTCTCCATATCTTCAGTGCAAACACCACTGCCCCCAGCTCCAAATCATGAGTGGGATAATTCACCTCATGCTTCTTCAACTGTCGTGAAGCATAGGCGATTACCCTCCCATTCTGCATCAGTACACACCCAAGCCCTTGGATGCTCGCATCGCTATAGACATCGTACCCCACACCCTGTTTGGGTAATGCAAGTACCGGTGCCTCGGTCAATCGTTTCTTTAGTTCCATGAACCCCTTCTCACATTTGTCATCCCATACAAACTTAGCTCCTTTACGAGTGAGCTTCGTCAATGGTGATGCCAAAACAGAGAACTTCTCCACGAACTTCCTGTAGTAGCCTGCCAATCCAAGGAAACTACGAATTTCCTTGACGTTCTTTGGCCTCTCCCATTCGGTAATGGCTTCTATCTTCTTGTTATCAACAGCAATTCCCGATCCAGAAACCACGTGCCCGAGGAAGCCAATCTCCTTTAGCCAAAATTCACATTTAGAAAATTTGGCATAAAGTTGCTTCTCCCGTAGTGTCTCAAGAACGAGTATCAAGTGTTCTTCATGCTCTTCCTCACTCTTTGAGTAAATCAAAATGTCATCTATGAACACAATCACGAATCGATCCAAGTATTGATGGAATACTCGGTTCATCAAGTCCATGAATGCCGCTGGGGCGTTTGTTAACCCAAACGACATAACAAGGAACTCAAAATGCCCATACCTTGTGCGGAAAGCACTTTTTGGTATGTCGTCTTCCTTAATCTTCAATTGATGGTAACCCGACCTCAAATCAATCTTTGAAAACACGGTTGCTCCTCGTAGTTGATCAAACAAGTCATCAATCCTAGGCAACGGATACCTATTCTTGATTGTGACCTTGTTCAGTTGACGATAGTCAATGCACATTCGAAGTGTCCCATCTTTCTTTTTCACAAAAAGAACCGGTGCTCCCCACGGGGAGTGGCTTGGTCTAATGAAACCGTTATCCAAAAGCTCTTGCAATTGGGTTTTCAACTCGTTAAGTTCAGCGGGTGCCATCCGGTATGGCGGTATGGAGATTGGTTTGGTACCAGGCTCGACCTCGATCACAAATTCAATCTCTCTGTCAGGTGGAAGCCCCGGTAGGTCTTTAGGGAAGACATCCGGATACTTACAAACCACCCTCACATCATCGATGTTCGTTTCCTCTTTGGTTTTGTCAACCACGTATGCTAGATATGCGTGGCATCCCTTCCTCATCATATTTCTCGCTCTCACGGCGGATATGATACAACTATTTGATTTGCCGCGGTCCCCCTCGAAGCGTAGGGTGTCCCCATGTGTGCCTTCGAGTTCCAACACCTTTGTGTAGCAATCTACCCTAGCATGATGCTTTTCTAGCCAATCCATCCCTAGGATTGCATCGAACTCCATCATACTCAGCGGTACGAAATCACACGTCAAGGTTTGGCCACCGATTTCCACCATACAAGATGGATAGTAATTGTTTCTTTCAACGTCTTCCCCTAGTGGGGTTGATACCACTAAGGTTTGTGTCATTGGTATTGATTGCATCTCTAAGCTCTCGGCAAACGCCTCACTCACGAATGAACGTTGCGCTCCGGTATCGATAAGGATTCGTGCATCCTTCCCGTTAATCTTTAGTGTCCCTACATTCATGAACCATGTAAGACATCTTTCCTATCCTCCCTACTCATTTATAGAAGGTTGCAATGTTCACACGCACGTTAGGGATCAAGAAGAGGCCTTAACGTCGCAAAACGATGCGAAAAAATCGGGTTTCGGCAATCTGGGTGCCAGGCACGGCGTGTCCGGGGTAGGCACGATCGTGCCTGGCTCAGGAAAACGCCCTGGGGCTACTGCCTTGGAGGCACGATCGTGTCTGCCTTAGGCACGATCGTGCCTGGGTTGGAAAAATCCTGGGAACCACTGACTTGGAGGCACGATCGTGTCTGCCTTAGGCACGATCGTGCCTGGTTTGGAGAAAAACCCTGGGCAGCTACTGCCTTGTAGGCACGATCGTGTCTGCCTTAGGCACGATCGTGCCTGGGCTGGGAATATTCCTGGGCAGCTACTGACTTGGAGGCACGATCGTGTCTGCCTTAGGCACGATCGTGCCTGGGTCCCAGCCGCCTGAAGTTGCCCGAAATCCCCCGGTTCGACCCCAAAACCTCGTGCAATGATCCTAGCGATTAGTATCCTCAATTTATGGACTAATTAAGGATAAAACACTAGTATATGAGAGGCAATACCTGCAACGGAGTCCGGGTTAGCTTGAGCATCCGCCTCCGTCATCGCATAGACCCTAGCCTGGGTCCTCCCTAGGTTCACGGATGGCGCGTTGCTCGCACTTGCTCCCCCTTGCCCCCTGCTTGCTTGAGAAGCCCCGGTCTGATTCCGTGTACCCGTCGGGCCACTACTTGGTCCCGATGTCCTTGCCCCGCCCAGTTGTGGGCAATGTGCCTTCAAATGCCCGGCATCCCCACATTGGAAACATCTAGGGGGGTCGCGACATTTACCGGAATGGTTCCTCTTGCAATTGTTGCAACGAGTTACCACTGAGGTCTGTGACCTCGAGCCTTGCCCACTTGGGCCTTAGTTCCCCCTTGATGGTGGCGGTGGTGCCCGGAAAGATCCTCCTCCGTGGTTCCCCCTTTTGTTGGAACCTTGGGAGCCATGACTCTCCCAGTTTCTCTTTTTCGCCTCTTCGGCGTCTCTCTTCTTCCGTTCCTCCCACTGTTTCTCCCCTTTCAATGCTTGTTCAACCACTTGGGCGAAAGTCATATTAGGCAATTGCGTTGCCCTATCACGTATCTCCAAGTCAAGAGCGTCCCAAAAGTGGTTCACCATGCGGTTCTCGTCACAAGCATACTCCGGTATGTAGTCGGCGAGATCCCGGAACTTGTACTCAAGCTCCTTCACTGACATGTTACCCCCTTGGGTTAGGAGGGTGTATTCCCTCACCTTCTTATTCACCTCGAAATCAGAATAGTATTGGGCAAAGAACTCCCGTTGGAAGTCCTCCCAAACGACGGTCTCACCGTACTTGTTCTTGGTTCCATCCCACCACTTGGATGCCATCCCCTCGAGCAATCTTACCGCAATTCTCAGTTTGAGATTCGGCGCGATTTGCATGTCAAGGGCCGCTTCATTTAGCCTCTTGATCCATTGTGCTGCCACTGAAATATCCCCTGCTCCATCAAAGGGTTTGCACCCCAAATCTCTTGCTTCTTTGATGTATTTGGAGATCCTTATGGTTGGACCTCCATCATTTTGGCCTCCACGTGGTTCCACATGGACTCTAGATGCACCATGACTTCCTCCTCGTGAAGCCATGCCTGAAGGTTGCCCAGCCCGGCGCCTTCGGCGTTCCCTCCTCTCTTCACGCTCACGGTGATATTGTTGGAGTAGTGCCTCAATCCGCGCTAAGGAGCCGTTGTCCTCCTCATCACTTACATCATCATCATCCCCTTCATAAGGGGTTTCAACCGGCTCTGTTTCCGGCCGATAGGTCGAGTCCTCATAGGACCAGTAGCTGTCACTTTCGGTGCTCACATGACCGTCACTCACGGTCCGTGATTGGCCTCCACGGCCCGCTCCTCTAGATGCCCTAGAGGTCCTACGACTGCCTTGCCCAGTCTCCTCGGGTGCACGGCCCAAAGGGTTCCTCCTAGTTACCTTGCCACCACGGTCCATTTCTGAAAGAAATTTGGAAAGAGTCGTTAGACTCGTATCAAATGTCAATTGACGGATAGGTACTTAAGACACATTTTGGCTCGAGTCACCGCCATACCAATTGCTAAGGGTACCATCTTAACAATTAGAGACCTTGCAACCCAAGTACCAAAAGCTCTCCAAGTACAAAACTTCTATGCTCATGGTTTTCAAAATCTTTTCAAAAAGAGGATTTTGAGACTTCATTATGAAGTTTACGGACTAAGGCTCTGATACCAACTTAATTGTCACGCCCCGGACCTATCCGGACACGTCAACAACCCGCCGTACAATACGAATAGTCAACCGCAGTCCAACACATTCATATTATACAAGGCGTCTTGAATATCATTCACACATATACATCCATAAACAAACATAATAAGTAATTCATAACGCAGCGGAAACATTGTTTAAAACAAAAGGCCACACAAGGCATTTCATGAGCACGCAGGCTCCATAGTAAAATATCCATGAGCACGTTTAGGAAGGTTTAAAAACAGAATGGAGGAAGCACGAACCAAGTCTTCCCTCCTATATGATCTCTCGAGCAACGAGCACAGGAAGCAAGCTCTAGCCTCAACCTGAAAAATGGTGGTGGGACGCCCCCGAAGGGGTCAGTACTCTATACGGCTATAAAGTACTGGTGTGGCAGGCATCTAATAGATATACAACAAGTATTTCAAACACAAGACCCTCAAATAGGGTTGATGGAGTATATGGCCCAGGAACCCCCGGCCCATAGACTCCTACTTCTCCTACACAAGTCCATTGAGCCCAAGAAACAACTCAGGCCCAAATACAACGGGCCAAGCCTCAAAGTAGCCCAGAATACACACTGGGGTGCCTTCGGCCTCGTTGGCCGAAGGCTCCAAAACTCACAGGATAGCCTTCTCTGGCATAAGAAGCTGCTGGGAGAAAAACGGGCGAAGACATGAGCCTTCGGCATTCTCATGCCCTCGGCACCAGGGGAAGCCTTCGGCTGAACCAAGCCCTCGGCTACACAATCAGCCCTCGACTACAAAGGGAGCCCTCGGCTACACGAGGAGCCTTCGACTACAAAAGCTCAATCATCGAAGATTCCTTTTAGAGACAGCCAACCACCGCATTTAATGCCACGTCACATCCACCAACCGCAATCAATGCAGTGGGCGTACCCCTGCCGGCGCCAACCGGCCGATGTGACCCTTCGGCCGTTGGATTACTGACACGTGTCCTCTGATCGCATTTATTGCTGCTATAAATAGCAGCCCTTATTCTCCTTGTAAACCAGGCTGAGTTCATTTTAATAAAATCGACTCTCTCTCCTCCTATTCACTCTGACTTCTCTCTAGGTTATTCCCGCAATAACCCCTCGGATAAGATACCCCCCGGGTAGATTGTCCATCATTTGGTGCTCTCGTTGAGAGGTCAGAACAAATCAAGTAAGAAACCCTCCCCCTCTACCAAACACAAACCCTTACCAAAAATGGGAAGAACCACCCGTGCCCAATCCAAAACCCTTGAGGAAAACTACGTAGTCCCCGGCGAAACTAACGGGGCTGAGGCCTCTAACAGGCTCTTAGTACCCGAGGGTGGTGTCATCCTCGAATTAGAACAAGCCACCGCTGACCTACGTCAACAGCTGCAGAAGAACACCCCCGATGCCCGCATTGGCCTTGATAATCGAAGGAGGGATCGGAGTGAGAACCAAGTTCCCCCTCCGGCCCCGGCCATCGATCTTCAGGCTGCCTTTGCGGCCTTTGTTCAGAACATGGCCCTCAATTCCGGGGCCATCGCCTCTCAGGCACCCCTCCAGCCCTACGCTGGAGGAAATGTTATTCAATTGCCACCACTCCCCCCTCTGTTCAACAATCCTCCCCCGGGGGTTGGAAACACCGAAGGGGTCATGGCACAGGACACCGCCTCCCAAGAGGCCCAATCCAGGGATAAACGTCCCTTGATGAAGGAGAAACCCCGGACCTCTGCACTTGAGAGGCTTGGGGGAGCTCCCATACGCCGAGGGGTCCAAGACCGCCTCGGCAAACAGGAATTCAGCAGGCCTCAGGAGAGCGGAGCTTCCGCTTCGGGAGCCGAAGGCATACCTCCTCCCCGAAGCAAGGGCAAAGCAATCCTCCATGCCGATGACGCCAGACACCAGATCAATCAGGCGCAGTCCTTCCGGGCCAACTCCCAAGAGGTTGCTCCGAAGGATCCCAAGGACGAAATCATTGAAGCCCTCCTCCGTCAGCTCGAGGAGAATCGTCAGGCACCCCCGACGGCTTCCACAGCGAGGCCAGATCCGGAGTACGCTGACCTCCGGGCGCAGGTGGAGGAAATGAAGCGTAAACTCGCCGAGGGCTCAGGCGAACCCCTCATTCAACTCCGCACTAGAACACCCTTCACCCCAAGGGTGTTGGCGGCCAAAATCCCCCACAAATATCGGGGGCAACCCATCAAGCCGTATGAGGGGAAGACGGATCCCCAAGAGCATTATAGCCGCTATCAAAACAGCATGATGATGATGGGGGCATCGGATGAATACTTGTGCCGTTGGTTCCTTTCCACCTTGGAGGGACCAGCATACGAGTGGTTCAATCGGTTGCCCGAAGGCAGCATTGATTCTTGGCAAGAACTTGCCCACCGCTTCCTTACACAATTTGCAGGGAGGCACCGCTCAAAGAAACACTTCTCCCACCTCCTAAACGTGAGACAGCAGAGGGAGGAGACCCTTCGGAGTTTCCTAGAACGCTGGAGGCAGGCCTCCCTCGAGGTCGAAGGTGCTGATGACAGAACCTTGATGGCCCTCTTCCACACCGTCCTCCGCAACGGTAACTTCTCCCGGAGCCTCATTACTGATCCCCCCCGCGATTATACAAAGGCCCTTCAGCGGGGGGACCGATATGCTGAAGCGGAGGAAATCGAGAAGGACCGCCGCAACACGGATCCTTCTCAGAAGAATGAAGGCAGGAATCGGCCCGGAGGACCTCCCCCTCCGGTCAACCGAGAGGCGCAGTACAACGATCGCCCCCGAGGTGGCCAAGCCAGAACCGGGGGCGGTTACAAAAACAACCCGAAGGCATGGGCACAACCCGTCCTCCTTGAGCACCCACGCACTCCCTTGACGCATCCCGTCAGCGTCATCCTTGATCATGCAGAAGAGCGGGGGCTCGTTGAGCGAGACTCCCGTACACCCCTCGAGATCTATGCCATCGGCCCTGATGAGCCATATTGCCGCTTCCACCGCCATCATGGACACAAAACCGACGACTGCCATCAGCTGAAGAACGCAATTGAGAGGTTGATACAGGCGGGCCACTTGTCTCAGTTCATCAGGGGCCCTCCTCCCCAGGGCCCCCCTCATCATCAAGGGCCTCCGCCGAAGGCAAACAAGTGGGTAAACCCCAACATCATCCCCTTGGGGAACCCACAGGGAAAGAAACGAGAAATTGGGGGCCTCAAAGATGAGGGAGAAGGCTCCCATCAACAATACAAGCGCCACGTCCACATGATTAATGGTGGCAACACTGGTGGAGACTCCACCAGCCAGCGAAAGAAGTGGGCTCAATCCCTTTACATTGGGGAAGTCAATCACATGCCCCCAACTAAGAGGCCGAGGGCGGATCCAATTTTCTTCACAAACGCGGACCTCCCCTCGGGATCTCTGCCGCATAGGGATGCCCTCGTCATCCGCGCAGAGATTAATGACGCCATCATTCACCGGACTTACGTTGACACGGGGAGTTCTGTCAACGTCATGTATCTCAGTACTTTCCAAGAGTTGGGACTCGATAGGGGGTCCCTTCGGCACATCAACACCCCCCTCTCCGGATTTACGGGGGACAGCATAGACGCCGAGGGCGCCATCACCCTCATGGTTGAATTCGGCGACGGATCCCATAGAGCCAAGCTCGAAGTGGAATTCGTCGTCGTCAACCTCGACTGCGCGCACAACATCATCCTCGGCCGGCCCGCCCTCGAGGATTTGGAGGCCGTCATCTCCATGAGGCACCTCTGCCTCAAGTTCCCCACACCCACCGGCATCGGCTATTCGAGGGGGAACCAGAAACTCTCCAGGGCCTGCTACCTTCAGCTCACCAAGAAGGTTAGTAAAACAGAGTTACGTATAGACACCATCACCACCAAGGCCTTGGAGGAGGAAGAAAGTAGGCCGAGGGCTGAGCCTGCCGAGGAGACTGAAGACCTGATACTCAATCCGGCCAAGCCGGAGAGAGTCCTGAAGATCGGAGCCAAGCTCCCCGAAGACCTGAAGGCTGGCATCACCGAAGCCCTCCGCGCCTACTCCATTGTTTTTGCATGGGGGCCGGAGGATATGCCAGGAATCGACCGAAGGGTTATCACCCACCGCCTAGCGGTGGACCCTTCGGCCAAACCAGTACAACAACGAAGAAGGCCCCTCTCGGCCGAGAGAAGGGAGTTCGTGAAGAAGGAGGTATCCATGCTCCTCTCCATCAAACACATTAAGGAGGTGAAATACCCTTCTTGGTTGGCGAACGTAGTCCTCGCACAAAAGCCTCCTACCTTCCGTATGTGCGTGGACTACACGGATCTGAATAAGGCATGCCCCATGGACCCCTTCCCCTTGCCAAACATTGATCAACTGGTAGATGAGACCGCGGGATGTGAAATCATGTCATTCCTCGATGCATTCCGCGGATATCATCAGATCTACATGCATGAGGGAGACGCTGAAAAAACAGCCTTCATGACACCCGAAGGCATCTTCTGCTATCTTGTGATGGCCTTCGGCCTCAAGAATTCAGGCGCCACCTACACACGCATGGTGGCTAGGGTTTTTCAAGCTGTCCTAGGACGCACCATGGAGGCTTACGTTGACGACATGATCGTCAAAAGCAAGAAGGCAGACACCCACGCCGACGACCTCCGGGAAATCTTTGCCATCATGCAAAAATTCAATCTCCGGCTAAATCCGAAGAAGTGCACCTTCGGCGTCCAAGGAGGGAAGTTCTTAGGCTACATGGTCAGCCGAAGGGGTATTGAGGCCAACCCCGAGAAGATCCAGGCCATCGTCGACATGGAGCCTCCACGCAACGTCAAAGAAGTTCAGCGGCTGACGGGTCGCCTGGCGGCCCTCAACCGATTCCTCTCTAAGTCAGCCGAGAGGGCACTTCCCTTCTTCCAAATCATGAGGAAGACGGCGGGTTTCCAATGGACATCTGAGTGTCAGGAGGCCTTCGACGAACTCAAGAAATACCTCTCTTCTCCCCCAGTGCTCTCCAAACCGAAGGTGGGGGAGACTTTATACTTATACCTCGGTGTTAGCCCTGCGGCTATCAGCTCAGTACTGATCCGAGAGGAAGACGGCATCCAGCATGCCATCTTCTACGTCAGCAAAACCCTCCGGGAGGCCGAAGTCAGGTATTCTCCCGTCGAGAAGACAGTGCTAGCGATCGTTTGGACCGTCAAGAAGCTTGGCCACTACTTTCAAGCTCATCCAGTCCAGGTGCTCACTCATCAACCCCTCGGCGCCCTCATGAGGAGTCCCACTAGCTCCTCTCGGATGGTGAAATGGGCCATATTCCTCAGTCAATACAATATAGACATTCGTCCGAGGCCTGCCATT